TATATATATAATATATATATAAGATTATATATCTTCTGTATGTGAGCTTTACAAACTCAAAAACACTATATTAATATTAGTTTTATGGTAGTGCTAGTGTGGACAAACCAAACAGCAATAATACAGTGGATTAAATGCAGAAAGTGTGTCACAGTCTGCCTTCCTCCTCACCTGTCAGCCATTTCAGTACTTCTCCACTAACCTGCCCCTGCTCAACTCTGCCAGTCACCCACGCCTCCTCATCAACCACTCTGCTCACCTGTGCACGCAAGCTGCTCCTGATCACCAGTTAAGCCAGTACATATACTGCTCCTCACCAGTAACTTATTGCCAGACTGTTCATTGTATTCATGCAAGACCTTCCAGCATTGTTTGGACAGATCTCCCGTTTTTGACCCTGCCTGCTTCTGACCATCCCGACCCGTCTCTTCCCCGGATATCACCTCAGCCTTCTGTTTCCGTGGTTCAGAGACTCTGATCGTATTGCCACACATAGCATCATGTACGCACACTCACCTGCCGGCTCTTCAACTCCTGCAAAAGACTTAGGGTTCACAACCTAAAGCCAGAATTGAACAATATCGTTTGCAGCTTGCTTGCTTTGTTTGTTCCATGAGCTGAAAATAAAGGTCATTATCGAAGTCATTGTTAACCCTTAACCTTTGGAGAAAAAGCCTCAAAGTTGTGACAAGTATTGTCTCTCAGTTTTAACAGTTTGAATGCCCCTGCTCTAAGAGAAAATGATAATTGAAAGGGTAACTCTTTTTCAAATATTCAGTAATTCTCTTGACTATTGACTGCTGCAGGAATGAGTCCTAAAACACGGGACTGAATTAGCATTTTAGCACCTCTGTGTCACTCTCATCGAAGTCAATGTGTTTTAGATGCCTGAAATAAGGTCTCTGAGGTCTCTGGTTAACGCTTACTTTGTTCTACAACATCAAATACGTTTTTACCTCTCTTAAAAAGGTTGGTTGTCTAAAAGAGACTAGAGAGGTTGTCGGTGACATGAAAACAGAGACTGATCTACTCATTAGTCCGCCTCTACAACCTCACTACAGCTCTTGCAAACTATTCTAACTCAAACTTACAACTTGTAGATTTTTTTTTTTTTCGTGGTGGTGACGTTGAAATCATTCAACCATGGTGCGGGGCGGCTGGGACTCAGGGGCAAGCAGGTCTTCCACTAATCAGAAGGTTGTTGGTTCAACAACCAAACCATGCATAAAATTATGTTTACATGTGTTACACATACACATGTGCATAAAACATTTTTTAAAAGTATAAATAAACCAGAAATCCAATTAGTAGAATGATCCGCACATCTGTGTGATCAGTCTGGTACAATAGCACTTATTGCCGAACTTTCTTTTTTTTGTTTTGTAATTGCAATAAATCGGTGATTTAATACATCCACAAAATGTACAAAATTCTTATTGTTATATTCTATACACTAGGTGATATAGAAAAGAAAGAGAACCAAGCAACTACAAATTCATCCATTTATGTATGCATAAATATGCACGTATATGGGCACAAATATTTATGTGTATTCGCACATTCATGAAAACATACAGATACGCCATGAGAAAGGAAAAGAAGAATAAGAAGGGTAAAAAAAGGGGAGGTGTAAGATATGAGTAAGTCTGTATTTATTTATCAGCCTCTTTAGTCTTTTATGCTGTGTCCCTTTATTTCTAACTCTATAAGTTATTCTCTCCATCTCTGAGATTTCCTGAATTGTTTCTTTCCATCAAGGTTTTTGATACAAGTCCAGACATGAAGCAGATCTATCTGTCTGACCAGTCTTGTGTATGCTGCATTCTTGGCCAAATGGGCTTTTGTAGCCATTGTTCCAAACTAAGTAGTTTAAGAATGAACATAAACAGAGACCTTCCTTTTAAATAATAAAATAAACAGCAGACATACAGAGCCCACCAAATATGCAGCAATTTTTTGTTGTAGTACTTCTTTTGTCATCGTACTCTATGGATGCAAATGTGCAGGTTTGGATATTTCAGGGTTTGCAAAGTGAATATTTAACAACTGATGACACAGAATCAAATGTGATGAATTGTCATCGCCTTGAAATATGGGAAAGAGATTATTTTGTGTCACATTTCTTTTCCTACTGACTCAGTGCAAGAATTCGCTTCAGAAAAGATAATGTATCAGGCTATGTCCACCGAACGGGGCCGCTAAGAGGCAGCAATAAACTAGCCCACTCCTGGTCTGACAGCAGGAATTAATCTATTTGTTCTTAAAAATATACTGGCTAAAAGCTTGCTTCATGGCAGTCTAAGTGATTACTCTCTTTCAAGCTTTATTTGATGTTTTTGGTCTCTTCTGCTTCTTCCTCTTCTTCCTTGACATAAAACAGTGTCTATAACTAGACACTCCCTGCGCCTGCCTGGCTAATATCACAGGGTGTATGAGCACTCACTGCGGGGGGCAGACAGACTGGTGATCCTTAATTAGCCATTTCCAAGAATATACTGTATCCATACATCAACTATTCACTAAAAGCAACACATTTATTCACCATTAATTCAAAGTATTTTAAATAGAATGATGTTGGAATAAGTGCATTACCTTTCTGAACAGTGTTGACCTTTCAGTAGCATTCCAGCAATATTGTAAAGTCACTATTCCTACACTCTGAGGGTGTTAACACCAGTTTATTACTCATTTACATTTAAATCAAACCCAAAATACATGAAGAGGTGTTCCCAGAGGACGACAGACAAATTGAACTCTGTATTAATTTCTTTTTACCAAGTGGTAGTAATTTTGCATACCAAATATTTCCAAGGCTGCTCTAAAAGAAGGGAAAGGTTGGAGCAATTTCTTAACTCTTCAACATTTTGAATGATAAGGGACCGGCGGGTGTTAGCAATTTACCACCATTCAAATCAGACTGTGTTTTTGATGCTTAATGTTGTTGTGTTGATGTGTGATCAAAGGTAAGATGAAGGGGCCGTGACTTTGTAATGGTGACCTCTGGAGAGTGCTATAGCCCGGTGCTATGTCAGCCTTGATTTATCTCAGTATGTAATTTTATACGTACATCTCTCACGAATTGTAGATTATTATCAAAAGAATCTGATCCATGCTATGTATTGTTGATTGCATTTTCAGAAAAATAAGATGCAGTTTGAAGGGCATCATCAAAAGATGGAATTGCTGCAATCTGCTCCCACCAGGATGCCATTAATAAATGTTTCTTTTGTGCCTCGCCTTTTCTGTTTCTCTTCTTTTTTTCTCCTCTCCAGGCACTTTTCTTTACTTCAGATGACATCAAAAACATGCATAATTGGGATCCATCTCCTTCCCATAGGCTTCATTCATGTTTTACTTAGTAATGGTCTACTTAATTGATGCATATGGCTGTTTCTGATGATTGAACTTTCAGAAATGGATTGGCCATTGCGCCAGTTTAGTATGTATGCTTCATGTGGAATTTGCAAAGAATTTCAAAGAAAAACGCCACATAAGAATACGTGTTAGAAATGATAATCACACAGAACATGATGCACAGAAATGCAAGATTCAAATACATGTCACATCAAAAAACTATCATTACATCTAAAAGGAGATATTCCTGACGTTTACTTCGTCTGCTTGTGTTCCTCTAATGATGTCTGTTTTTTCACACCTTATCATTGCTTTTGCATGCGTCCTGCCATTATGGCTGATTGCAGGGCCAAAGAAAAGAGGAAATCAACAACATCTCATCTGCCCTGTCTGCCGCTCTGCTACCTTATTTCTTTACCTGTTTTTTTCGCTAGCTTAATACAAAGCACGCTTGTCACTCTATGCAGATTTTGAAAAATGAAGGTGCCGTAAGATGTCAGTTTTTGTTGGATTCATGTCATCTTTTAGGGAATAGGTGCTGTATATGCCATAAGTTGTGCATTCAGAGGGTGTTTCTGTGACTGCACCATGTAATCTCATTTTGAGATATGGTGAGTGTATTCATCCTCTATTTACACTCATTGTCATGGCTGTGCTGTTGAACGATTGTAGCCGTTGCTGAGCAAATTATTTTGCAAAATGATTTTCCCTTTTAAAGGAGTTTTTGAAAAGTTTAGTGTTTCTATTAGTTTGTATCACCTTTGCTGCAGTTTTTAAGTGAATAATTAGTAAGGTAAATTAGTAAGTTTCTTTTTTTTCACATAGCCTCCATGTCATTTAAAGATTAAAAAAACAAATATAATAAATAATAATAAAATACAATTATTTTGATAATCTATTAATTATTTTGAGTCATTTTCGAAGAAAAATGTCCAAATTCTCTGATTTCAGCTTCTCAAATGTGAATATTTTTGGGTTTCTTTAGTCCTCTATGACAGTAAACCTATCACACCTATCTTTGGGTTGTGGACAAAGCAAGACATTTAAGGACATCACCTTGGGCTTTAGGAAACATTGATAAACATTTTAACCATTTTATGGATCAAACAATTGATCTGGAAATGATCGACAGATTGTTCGATCATGAAAATAATCATAGTTGCAGCCCTATATACTAAATATATACAGTAAATATGATGCATTATTTGTTCAATTACTACTATTCCCTGTTTCTTAAAAAACAGTACATTCCGTGTAAATTTGCATAGATTGAAATACTGTGACTTCTATCTACCTTTCATCAGCACATATTCTTAATACAGGAACATAAATCAGAGGCTACAATGCTTTTTCGCTTATAATGTTGTCAAAGATGGATATGGGCTTTGGGTCAGTGTTTGAATTATAAAAAAATGTGTCAGGTTCCAGACCTTGGGGTCAGGAGGACAGAGGATTTTTGAGACAGAAGCAGAAATCTAACATTGTGTGCAGCAGCTGAACTTAAACCACTCATTGTACCTGCACAGCAGCACATTTTTGCCTCCCGCTACACTGCTGTGGTCAGTCTGTCAATCACTGCAGTCACTGTTGAGGCCACGCCCCTAAATTCACTGTCCTTTGCAGGTCTCTGATACATTTTTAAAATTTGCTGAGAGGGAGAGAGCTAGCAGAGTGTGTAGTTATACTTTAATTGTAAAATGTTGCTATGTTTTTTTAGGTAATGTAAACAGTGAATAACAGCACTTATAAATGACTTGATTTTTTTAAAATATAAAACACGTAGCACCCTGAAATAGTTTGCAATAGAGTGACACTGATACTCGTGTATGTTTCTCTCTGTGCGACCTGCTGTAGTTAAACCGTCAGAACCGCTCTCTGAAGAGGAAGAGCATGATGCTGCTGTCCCACATCAGCCCAGAGACCATCACAGAGATCAACCTTGAGGATGAAGAAGACGAGGAGGAGAGTGAGGAGATACAGGTAGCCAGCAAGGTCTGCCTCTCCTCCCAGTGCCAGACCATCATCTCAGGTACGAATGTCTCTAACTCCATGGTTTCAGTTGTGATGTATGTCACATATTTACCAATAAGTTACTGTAGCTCTAGCCTCGTAGGAACAGCAGAACTATTTTGAGCATTATTCTCAATGTCAATGAGTTTGACAGCACAATGCCTACCTGTTATCAGCCATTGATAATGGTAGAGAGAATAGTATCTCCTTTACATGTCAGTGGAGTGCTACTCAAAGTATGAAAACAGTTGCATGATGTAAATGGACTTATATGGTAAATGGACTGTACTTATATAGCGCCTTTCTAGTCTTTTCGACCACTCAATGTGCTGTATACTACATGTCTGATTCGCACACATTCATACACTGATGGCAGTGGCTGCCATGCAGGATGCCAACTTTTCACCAGAACAGTAACTATGCATTCACACACAGTCATACACTGAGGCACAGCAAGGGGTTCAGTATCTTGCTCAAGGACATGCAGTGAGAGGAGCCAGGGATCGAACCGCCAACCTTCCAATTAGTGAAAGACCCGCTTTACCTCTGAGCCGCAGCCGCCCTGATGTCTGCTGCTATGTATATTTTTCAGTTTTCTACATTGAATTGAACTTATCATGAAAACTGCACATTTATAACAGAAACCCTGTGTTGATTCATAGGAATTCTGAAAACTGCGGAATACGTTGACCATTTTTAAAATAATTTCTTTCTATAATATCTGCACATGGCAAATCTTGATTATGGCAAGTAAAGTGAAAAAGCAAATAAAACACATGGTTAAAGCCTGTCCACCACCTACACTATATACTTGCTCTCAATTAGGCCTTAAAATATCTTAAATATGATTTTGACAGGTCTGCTTACAAAGTACAACAAACATAGAATCGATACTGTTTTCCCTTTATATCCTTTGCATTTTTGTTGCCCGTATGGATGTAAAATTGGCATTCATAATGGTCTTAAAAAGGTCTTGAAAGTCTTAAATTGAATACGTTGAAACAAACATCAAAACATGCAAAAGGAGAAACGTGTGTGTGTATATGTATGTGTATATATATATATATATATATATATATATATATAAAATCTAAAATATAG